ATATATGTTTATTTGATTGATAATTACATATATAAATTAAAATCATAATTAAAACTTTTATAATGATTGTTAATAAGAGAGTAGTTAAACCTAGAGCTGCACATTGCCAGTCTTTTTGAGGTCGGTCTCGGAACGGTTCGGTCTTCTGTCGGACCGGTCCCGTTCGGTCTTTTTTTGGACCGGTTTTTTTTTCGGACCAGTCTTTTTCGGTCTTGTCTCTCGGTCTTTCTGTGCGTATTTTTCGGTTCGATTTACGAGTTTTTTTTTGTTTGGTTTTGGTATTTTTCGATTCTCCTGTTTTGGTTTCAAGTTTTTTCTATTAACAAATATGAGATTATCACCAAAATGATAAACTAAGATTTATTAAAAATGATAATTTAAATTTAATAAAAGAAAACATGAAATAAATTAAATAGTTTGTGATTAAAAATTATATAATTAACACAAAAAGTATATATTTATAAAGTTTGGCTACCGGTCTTTTTTTCAGACCGGTCTCGTTCAGTCTCAAACCGGTCCGGTCTTTTTTAGGACCGGTCTCGGAACAGTCGGGTCTTTTTCGGACCAGTCCGCGACGGTCTCGGGCCGGTCTTTTATCATTCCGATTTTTTTTAGGACCAATCTTTTTTCGGTTCGGTCTCGTTTTAGACCGGTTCGGTCTCGGTCTTTTTTTGGGTCCGGTCCGAGACCGGTCTTTTTGCGCAGGTCTAGTTAAACCTTTCTCTTGGGCCTTGTATTAGAAAGTTTCAATACCATTCAAACTGGCCCAAAGAGTAATATTCAATGGTGGTCTTGGATTACTCTGGAATAATCTATACTAATGTGGTGGTCTTGTTCATTTAAGAGGTTTTTTCTTCTTCTCTTACCTCATAATATGGAATAATCAATGTAATAATCAGAATTAGATAATCATTATAATGAATATATGAGAAGTTTAAAAAACCTCGAGGATATGGACTGTTGTAATTGCATTACTGATGGTGATATGATGCCTCTCTTACGTAGCTTTCTAATACGTATTCTAGACAAGTACACTGTATTATAAACTTGAAAGAATTTAAATATGTTGTATTATTTATGCTGGTGATTCGTTGTTGCGTATGTTTCAAACCTAACAAACTTGAAAAAATTACAAATCTCCAGCCGCAAGATCATAGATAATGGTGTCCCATTCCTTTTAAGTTACAGTTTTTACTAACAACCTTGTTCCGATTTGTAAATCTTAACTTTCATTGAAGGTGTTGATAAGAAAGAGGGGGAAACGGAGGCAGTGATAAATTCAATTGAAATTGAGAACGCTTACCACATGGAAATGGTAAATCGATCTCGGAGCGTTGTTTGTTCGCATTGAAGAGAAATGGTAAAGCGAAAAGTATAATGTCAAAATATAATATCTATATACCTGTTTAATCTTTGTATAAGTCGATTTCAAGCCACAAAACAAAATCCAAAATGAAGCTTCTGCTTTACTACTTTCAAAACATCAAATGCCTAATTTTCATATTGGGGCTGAGCAACAATTCAAACACATTTTGTAAAGTCTTAAACCAATCCACTGAATGAAAGTAGGACACAAAAATAATAAATTCAGTGAATCTAGATTGACCCAAGACAATCAATACCAAAACTACTCAGATTCATATATACAAAATAGGATGTTATAATTACCCAAAAACCCATTTTACTCGAATTAGGATGCTATAATTACCAAAACAACCCATTATACTCAATTTCACAAACTCAGACACAGGTGCGTACATATACACATTCACACACAAACACACATATTTATTTTTATTTCTTGCATTTAGCCCCATATGATTTGTTGCTTCTTCTAATGTTTTCTTCTCTTATATAATAAGTCGTTCCCATGCTCACACATCACCATATACCAAGATTAAAGATTTATAATGGACGATAAGAATTAATGTTTAAAAACTTTAAACATATGGATTTCTTACAAGATCTTAGTAAAAACATTTGTTTTTTTGATATAAAAAAATTACATTTTAACTAAAATCATGGATTTCTTACAACAATTATGTCATTAAAATCTTTATAAACTAAAACGGGTTGTATTACATTTTTCATTCCATTATGGAATGAAAAAGACAAATTTCACAACATTCAACATTTTTAATGTGAGCTGACTTGGGAGTAAAGAAAGGACAAATAAGTAAATGTTAGTGTTTTGAAATACTAAGCCAAATCTTTTGGCCAAAGCGTATTAAATCATTATGTACTTTGAAACACTATCTTTTATTCTTATCACATCATTGTACTTAGAAAACTATCCAATTATACTAATGTTATTCAATTTTAGTACTATACTTGGCTAGAGTTTTTGAAGTAAGTTGTCCTAACAACATTTCTTATTAGAGTTTTTTTTTTATAGTGTATTACTATTTGTTTTTTAATGACCACTTAATATTATTGGAGAAACAATCTTTTTTTTTTTTTTTTTTTTGACCATTCAATATATATTGAGTGGTCAATACAGTATCATAAGTTGTACGTTTAACCCCTTCCACTATAAACATATTTTATAATATTTTCAATGTTTTTATTGTATTTTTATAACTAAAACATAATAATTTTTCATATTTTAGGTATATAAATAAAGACGTGATATATGTGTATTTTATATTTTCATATTAAGATATGATTTGTGTTTAAAAAGGAATTAATTAATGTTGGGTTAATTGGATTTATGAGTGCATGGGCATTTTGGAAAACCCCTTTTTTATTGAAGTATTTGATTTAGATTAGGAAGTTTTCTGTTTGCTTAACAAGTATTATGTATTGGTTTAGGTTACTGCTTTCATTAGTATAAATAAGGATATGTATTCGTTAGTTTAGAGAGAGATCTACAGCAACAAAATCCTTTGTTACAATTTTTCATGTTCCTCCTTTGTTTTGTCTACATAGTTTTTCTTGGGTATCAAGCGAGTTCCAACCCAAGTAATCTTACAATTGGTATCAGAGCCTAGGGCTCGTGAAGGCGTAGGGCGGCCGGTTTGAGAGTCAGTTTCAAGAAAACTGTAGCATTTCGCTGCGGGGCATACACAGCGGGAACCAAGTTCGGTTTAAGGGGGTGTGGATTGTTTTTTAGCGCGAGTTGAAGCATCTCAACAGCATCCCTAATTTTTCTTGATCATGATTGTTCTAAGGTGGAGAGAGACTAACCGAATACGTAGAATAAACGGACGGGAAGACATCAAAGCGGGTGGCTTTGATTCGGTTCGTTTTGCAGGCGACAGAAGACGGTAAAGGTGGTCGTGACCTTGTCTTGTTGATAGGTGGAAGAGTGTTCTCGGAACAAGCTTAATTAAAGAGGTCGGGGTGGTGAAAAAGGATTGCATAGTTCTTGATTGGTTTGTTCGTGATAAGGGGGATACCGACGTAGGTGCGTGAAAAGTGGGCAGGAAGGATCCGTCGAAGCAGGTGGCTCTGGATTCAGTTCGTTTGGCAGATTGAAAGAAAACGGTGAAGCAGGTGGCTTTGTTTTCTTGGTCGGTGGAGATGCCTCTTTGAAGAACGGTAATCGAAACAAATGAAGAGATTGGAGAAACAACACGTTGTGGACATTATGGCGGTGGAAGTTCAAATCGGATGGTTTGGATCTGGCCGGGGAGAGGTCATGAATCCGGGAAAAGTCTAGATGGTAATGAATGTATCCAACGGGATGTTATGTTACATGTTACGTGTGTTGTGAACAATCAAAAGGGTATGGAGGACTTTGGATGTGACCGAGATGGAGTTCGGGTGTCCGGGAAAAGTCGGGATGGTTCGGGAAGACGATGATTCAACACTGTTGTGAACGAGAGGTATGACCAATCCGATTAAGGAGTGATTGTTGGGTTAATCGGATTTATGAGTGCATGAGTATTTTGGGAAAACCCTTTTTTATTTTAAGTATTTGATTTAGATTAGGAAGTTTTCTGCTTGCTTAACAAGTAATATGTATTGGTTTAGGTTACTGCTTTCATTAGTATAAATAAGGACATGTATTCGTTAGTTTAGAGAGAGATCTACATCAATAAAATCCTTTGTCATAGTTTTTCATGTTCCTCATTTGTTTCGTCTACATAGTTTCTCTTGGGCATCAAGCAAGTTCCAACCCAAGTAATCTTACAATTAAATTAGATGTTCTATAAAACATTTTAGGTAGATGGGGGTAAATCAGTTAAGTTTATAGAAAAAGCTATTAAAATAAGTTTAATCATTGGAGAAGTCATTTATTTAGATCTCAAATTTAAAGTTTAACCATAAAGCAACAAACTTACATTTCGGTGTTAGAGTTATTTTGTTTGCATGTAGTAGAAATATACTTCCGGTTTATTGCTAATATGAGCATTGTACTTTATTTGTTATATATTGTCATTATCTTTAAATGAAATGAAATTACATTTCCCCTATGCGTGCGTAGCTATTATATTGCGATCATTAAAATAATTGTAATAGATTGTAATTAGGAGTTAACAATTGCAAGTACATTGCTTTTATAGTAAAAATAAAGTACACTGCTTATATTGATAGAAGGAGCAAAATATCTTTTTTAAAACCCATTGCAGGTTATCATGCATAGAGCAGAGAGGATGTTGCAACTGGGCCATCTACAGACACGTTATATCTATTCAACAATCGTGTGATCATTATATGGCTTATGTTGTGAAGCAGAAAGAAATGATGCTTGAGACAGTAATAGACGTATTAGACTATTAGTTTATGTTTATTTCATGAAAATTACTCTGAATTGTTTCTTCTATTCCTAATTTTGATCTTGACTAATGATTAGAATATAAAATGGTGCGAGAGAAAGTGAACGAGCAACTTTAAAAAAAATGACATTGAGCATGAAAATTTCCTGTTGCATCCTCAGAATTGTTATATTAGGTTTTAAAAAATACATATGTATAAGAAATGTTCAATTGGATAAGTAAGAGTGCTTCGAATTAATGTAAATAGTATACAATTGAAGTCTCATTGGTTGTTAGTTGTTACACTTCAATGGTTTTTTGGTCGAGAGCTGTGTATCTCCATCTTTCCTTCTCGACAAAATCAGCATCCAAGAAACGAGCAATGAACGCCCACAATCTATAAACATCTTCGAAATCAGCCAAAAAATTGATGGCAGCAGTCACCACAGCGATCTCCTGCCCCCCTTTAGTCTTCTTCGTGGTGATCAGTCTCTCCTTTTCATCGGCATACTTGTCTGCAAACCATATCTGTTGCAGAAACCCTTGGCTCAGAGAGATATTGTTACGATCTGAGAGTTTTTGCACGAGCGCCGGCTCGACTTTTTCCCCTTTCCAATCGTAAACGTTGAAGGCTAATGCAGGTCCGCGATCGAATCTGATTCTTGGACCGTAGATTTGGACCAAGGGTGTCTTCGTTTCGGTGTTGGGATGTTGTAATTTTGTGAGGGCGTTAGTCAGCCAATTTATCAAACACCTGGTGCGCGTACTGATCAGCATTAATCCCAACGAATCGACATGATCTAATCCTCTATACTCGATCTCTAAATTTTTTTTCTTTTGGTCATGGATCACGATCTGATTCTGGGTTTGGAGGAAACTTTGATGTTGTTGAAGTTCTAAATCTGAACCAGATGAATGTTCCTCATCTGGTTGAAACGATGAGTTTTTTGCAGGAACAAGAGTGGCAATCCCCACAGACGTTGAATCTTCCATGATCGGTATCATCGATTTCTTGACAAACAAGCATCCAAATCCAGTTGGGTTTTCCCCAAATACCTTGTAGAATGAACAAATAAGGAAATCAGGTCGAAAGAGTGATAGCCCAAAGCTGTCCATGTCTTTTGGACCCAATGCACAAGCATCAAGCAATACATGCCACCCGTTTTCCTGCGCCATGCTCATCCATTGATACGAGTAACTAGCTCCAGTCGTTCGAGATTGAAGAGGGAACACAAACAAACCCCTCGCTTTCTTCTTCTTCCTCTTCCTCTCCACCAATTTCCTTAATCTCGCAGAATGAATCCTCATTCTGGGCCACTTAAATTCCGCCGACATGATCTTAGCTCCACGTTTCTCGGAAGCACTAACCATGGCGTCAACAGCCTCGCTCTTGTAATCATAAACCGTCAACAGCTTCCGACTCGTTTGAAAAGGGTAAGCTTCAGACACGATCTTGAAAGCCGATGACTTATTTGAAGTGAAAACCAAAGAATAATCATCACCCGAAACGTTCATAAACTCCATGATCCTTTTCCTAAACGACGCCTCAAACTCCGACCCTTCCCCTCCATGAACCAACTGTGTCTTAAGATTCACAGACTTGTAAATTGTACTGAAGAACGGGAAATCAGAGTGTAAGTCGCTCGAGCTCGAAGAAGGTGAAACTGGATGATGAGTCTGAAGCTGTAAATGAGAGAAAAGACCGATGCCGATGTAATCGAGACATATACGGTTGGAAAGCGAGAGATGGTAGTATTCTTGTCCTCTCATTCGGTCAACTCGAGCAGTATCGGAATACTTGGGATAAGTCCGTGTGAAAGTAGCGAGTGACTCTTTGAAAGAAGGAAGGGATTCATGATCGGTGAAACGAGTGTTTGCGAAGAAAGAGGTGGTGGTTGTGTTTGCGAAGTTTTTCCGACAAGCTGATGATGTGCTGTTTCGTTTTTCAGTGGTGGTGGTGGTGGTGGCTGGGAGGACGAAGAGGAGGGGGTTGGAGCAGCAGCCATGGGAGCATACCTGTTCGACTTCCTTGAAGCAAGGTGAGTGCATAGCAGCGATCAAGATAGATGACGAATTGAACAGAGGTTGAAGATGGATTAAATTTGCAGGTTATTTATAATTGGTGATGCTGTTTGATGTGATATGGTAATGATTGTTTGAACAGGTCGTTCTTTTCTTTTCTTGCATAGACTTTTTCTTTACGTTGGTTGTGCGGATTCAAACCATGATGGATACCGAAGCCGGTCAAGTGATAGTAAATTACAGTTTTGGTCCCTGTGGTTTGGTCAAACTTACAGTTTTGGTACCTAAGTAAAAAAATTGATAGGTTTTAACAAATTACAGCCTCCATGTCACTGTTCAAGTTAAAATAAATATAAATACTAACTGGCTGTTTTTGTATTTTTATAATGATAAATAATAAAAGTTAAAGTGAATCAATTAGTTTATGGCTGTTTTATTATTTTGGAAAAGTGAATAAAGAAGAAAGTAAACAGGAAACACAATAAATTGGCTTTAATGGAAGTGGAGCGGGGGCAGCTTAGCTGCTAAGGAATTCGTTATAATGAGAATGGGACAATTGGAAGTGGAACCAGTCCCACGATGACTACTTTTTTTTCATTTTATTGTTATTTTTGCAGTTTCATAATTAATCATATGAATTAGGATATATTTTAATTAAAGCCATGACATTTTTTTTTTCATGCTAGTCGTTTTTTTATCTATAGAAAGTTAAAACGGTTACCATTATAAAAAATTGTCATGATTTTAGTGGAATATTTTGATTCTGATTAAATATTTTTCTTTTTTATGTAATATGCTCTAAACCAAAAGTTGTTTAACATATGATGCGAGTCGAATAATAAAACCATTTGTGCCATAACAGATTAATAAATAATGATCCAAAAGCTCTAAGTGCTTTGATGATTTTTCAAATTTGTATCATATCATTTGGTGTATTCAGTTTTCATTCACTTATGCAATGTGGGCTAAGGTTGAGAAGATGAGAGTTAAGGTTTTATACTCTTGTTGAACGAAATCCTAAATTGACGATAGAAAATGAATTTATTGTTATATGTTCAATTTATTATAATATGAAATAAGCTTAATAGCATATATCAAATATTCATGATGTGGTAATTCTATGATTCATAAAGTGTTGAATGAGGTTTCGGGAAAGTGTTTGAAAGGGAAATTCTAACTGTTTGTGCATATAGTTATATTCACTTTGTTTTAATGATGATAATGCATCTGTGTTTAACAATTTCATGTAGGATATAGTATGCAAGATACAATTGCTAATTATATATAGGACTATATGACATTATGACCCACAATAAAAGCTATAAAAGTATATGAAAACAAATAATACATTATGTGATAAATTATATTTACAAACTAGAATAAATGAATAAATAAATTATTATTTATTATTTAATAATAAAAAAACAGTTAAATAAAAATAGTTTACTTAATAAGCAAATAAAATGAGTTTATATAAGAGTTGTTCACTAAAATGATCATATAAAATAGAAATGTATATCCATTAACTCATATCTTTTCAGATTGTAATAAAATAACTACAAATAAGTGATAACACTAAATTATATTAGCTGCCTCGCAATAGAATCGATATTTTTCTTGTGAGTTGTGACACATAGAACCCCGCTACACTTTTTTCAGAACATTTTATTGTTTGCGATGTTAAATTAAGTCACTTTCAACTATCACCACCAAATCATAGTCGTTAAACATGTGTCAGTATTAAGTTTTTACACATTCACAATGTTTCGTTCAACCATGCATACATAAATGCTCATCACGGTCAAGGCGTAAGGTTATATATTTTCAACTATTTAAGGGCTAAATAAATTATATAATTAAGCACTTGATCAGGGACGTCCCATTGATTTTGAGAGTCGTATGTGAATAATAGAAATGGGCCAATAGTTTATATATATATATATATATATATATATATATATATATATATATATATATATATATATATATATATATATATATATATATATATATATATATATATATATAAGCAAAATTCATTAAAACTATACTGAGTCAATAAATGTTATAAAAACAATCAAAACAAAATAATGATGTTATGATATATAATTTTATATACAGTGGCGGACCTTAGTGGAGCATTGGGGTCCCAGTCCACTGCTCAATTTCCGGCACGTAGTGTAATTTTTTTTTCTATTAGGTGCACCAGCTTGAAGTACGAGGGACACCCCTATGATAACAGTCTGCGTCCGCCACTGTTTATATAGTTTTATGAATCGTGAAACTCTCGTAATATTCTTGGAAGCAAAGTTGGTTACTAATATTTATAATCAAATATTATTTGGTATATCGTTCTCAAATCATATATAAAATTACCACTTTATATGATATAATTATATGTTTTTTTCATCTAGTTCATGTGTATTTCATACAAATTATGTAACTCACATTTGTAATAGTCTGTATGGATTTAGAAAAAATAAGAAATTAAACATGTGTGAATTGGACTCATATGTTGGCAACAAAACAAAAGCACCTATTGATCATTAAGCTACGAGATGAAGTTACGAAGTGGTCTCATTATTAGTTTAAACGATTGTAGTTATGCTCCGAGCATTGGTGTAGGAATAGTTTCAGTTTTCCTTTTGAGATGTTCTGGTTACAAACCTTTTTGATGAGACACGAAAATTACTTATTCGATGTCTCGATGACATTCTTTTACTTCGTTTCTTATTCTTGTATATGGATTATATGTTTGATATCTAACCTTTTCTATGAAATAGAATTAATTTATTAACAAAGTAGTCTAAATCCTACGCGCCTTATCATTATTATATACAAGTAAGATGATTCATGCTGGCCTGCACAAGTTTCTTTCATCGATCAGTATCATCATACATACTTATAAAGCTAGCATTTTTTCTTGAATCTCATGCATTTGAAACCCCCTTTTTTAACTTCCTCAAACCACATTCATTTGAAACCCCCTTTTTTAACTAATGCAACTCAAAAGTTTTCTTAATTATGATTTAACACTCAAAAGTTTTATAACTTATATAATGTTTAATTAGCATTTAGTGAAAAGTTTACTATAAAAAGGTCAATCTTTTGTGTCTTTTGTGTTATATAAAATCTTACATGTAAGAAGAATTTGAAGATATTGTGATTCAAAAGTTTTCATATAGTTGAAGCATTCACGATCCAAATATGATGATTTGAAGAAATGGGTTATGTCGCATCGATGGTAATTGTAATATGATTTTTTCTTTCAACCAAAACAAATGAAGCTTTTCTATTCTTTCTTTATATTCAGTTTCTCATTTAATCTTTATATGTGATTTGTGTGTATTACTCAATCTTGAATGTGACTCTCCAAACATCAATGTTTTGCTTGGAATATCTTTTTGGTTCTTCTTTTTCAAGAAAAATATTTTGATTGCAGGTTAGTGAAGAATTGTCATCAAGTTTCTATGGTTGAATGGTGTTAAATGAAGAAAGAAGATTCATAAAATGGATATAGGTTTTTTTGTTTGAGCAAAGTTGACGAATGTTAGTTTTTTCTTTTGATTTAAATGTATGTTTATGTAACATCTTTATTTATATATTTAACCACCCAATGCTCTTATTTATTTGATTATAGTTTTTCTATTTTGATTATGTTTATTTTCTATTATTTTTTTGTTGGGTTATCCTACACAACATATTTAAAAGATAACATAATTTTGAACATTTGATATGTAATTATGATAGACTTATCATGATATGTTATTCATATGAAAGTAATTTATCCATATTACTACGACAAGAATTACATATGACATTTACGAAAATATATATATTATATGTGATTTGTTTAACATGTATATGCACCTATGTATGTTATAAATTTATAATTAAATATCTTCATGTTTAATAATTGAAGGGATTAAAATGATGCATCAAAACCAATTATTTAGACGAATATAATAATAATAATAATAATAATAATAATAATAATAATAATAATAATAATAAATATACATTTCCAAGTACCGCATTCATTTGAAACTCACACTACAACTCACGAGTTTTCTAATTTATGTATATTTATTAGTTACAACTCAAGAGTTTTTAACTTATGATTATTAATTAGTAATCACTAATAACTTTTTATTTTCCTTTCTTTTATAAGGTTATAAAGTTTTGCTCATTAAAAACATTAATGTATTTGAAAAGATTTGTGATTTAAATATGAAGAGTTAATATAAATGTTATAATAGATGTTTTAGTGTTTTTATGTTATTAAAAGTTATAGTGTTTATTTTTCATATTTTTTATTATTCGTTGTATATATATATCTTTTTTAATACAAATATTATAATAGATGTTTTTTTATTTTTATGTTACTAAAAGTTGCAGTTCATATATTTTGTTCATACGTTTTGTTACCCGTTATATTATCATTCATTTGATATATAATTTACACAATTTTAAACGGTTTATAAAATTATCAAATAATTGTATATATCACAATGACTTAAAAATTAAACTATAATGTTTAATAAAACTAATATGTTAACTATATGTTTGCTTTACTACTAACATTTTGTTTCAAAGTAGAAATATTAAATAATAATTTGGTAAAAGTTATTATTTTAACTATATAATTCTATTCTCGCGCAGCGCGCGAGGATTCGTCTAGTGTATTTATAAAAGAAGAAGCAACACAAATCATCCCATGCTTAAGATGTAATTCAATCGCTCCACATGTCTGCTGTTGACTTTCTTAATTCCTGTTTACGGGTTATAATATTTAAACTCTGTCCATATTGTATAAAATTCCAGACGAATCATATATCAAGAAATTTGAACATACAACTCGGTTACTCGGTTATTTTTCCTTAAAACTTTGAGTCTATTTTTTTAATGAATAGATAACATGTATCGGATTTTATGTACGTTATAAGTCGTTAAAAATGTTTCTATTGAAAACGTTTGTTAAGAAGTAGAATAGTAAGCGAGTGCCTGTTCTTAAAAAAAAATAGATC